CATAAAAATAAAATAAAGGTATTGTGTCCAACTGCAACTAAAAAAAAATTAAAAAAATTAAATTAATTCTGTTACTTTATTCTCTGTTGTCCATGGTCATCTGGAATCATCCAGATTATCAGGATTATCAGATGGGTGAGTAAAATGGACCAACAGAACCATCACTCTTGTTTTCTGGAGTTCTTTTAGAAAAATCTGCCTCAGTCCAAAAAAAAAAAAAAATATATATATATATATATATATGTCAGGCATCTGTCAGCCAGCTAAAAGCAGTTAATGTAGCCACCAATCTAAGGACAAAGGCGACAATCTTAAGGAGGCTGGATCAATCCCCTTTGTCTCTGACAGAGGACTGTTGGTCAAGCTCTGTTTCAGCTTCTCTCCTTGGAACACAAGCCAGGTTGACCTGACCAGTTCAAACATCCATATCTTCCTTTCACTTTTTGACTGACTTGGCTCAATGTTGCAGAGTGCCCTCACCAAATATATTTTGGATCCTGAGACAAAGTCTTAGTCTGATTCAAGCTCTTTTTTTTTTTTTTTCTCTGTGGTGCTAGGGATTGTGCATGCAAGGTAAGCACTCTACCAACTGAGCTATATTCCCAAGCCCTGGTTCAAGCTCTTTGGGAAAGTGGCAACTCACTAATCCCCAGAACATGAGCCAAACTTTCTATACTCTACTAAAAATGCCTTTCTCTCATGTTTGCTGTAGATCTCATGTAGACCCAGATTTCTTGATATGCTCCTCCAAACCCCAGTTGTCTCACTAGGACTCATAGATAAATAAGGCTATTGGGAATTTAAACAAGCTGTTGAGAGTTTAAGAAAGTTGCAGATAGTTTGTGGAAGGTAAATATCAAAAAGTTTGTGAATGTTATTAAATTGGCTATAAATTGTAAGGTCAGTTAAGGTGGTATAAGTTTTTTTTCTGGGTTCAAGTTTTGTTGTGCTGGTGCAGGCCAGAGTTCTCTGTGTCTTGGATCAGTGGGGTTTTCTTGAAGCATTGTCAGGATGATTTCTTCTTTCTGTTGGGATTTGGTTGATTGGGAGGCTGGGTCTTAGGGGGTTGGAGTTCATACCGGTTTGGGGGTCTTTTGAATGTCTGCTTCATGACGGATTGAACAGATGACTGTTGATTTGGATTGTTGCAGTATGGTTGACTTCCTAGGTGTGTGTGGCTGACTCTATACTGGGAGCTGGGTGTGTTTGTCAGGGAGGTTTGTCTGAGTGTTGATGTGGGGGTTTGTGGAGTGGGGACTTGTATGAGCTTGGTACAGTCAGGATGTTTCGCCTGTGTTAAACCTACATGGGCTTTAATTTTACAGACTTTTGCATTGGAACTTAGAGCTCTCAAGTGGGCGTGTATGGTTCTCAGGTGTGTGCATGTACCTGGTTACTATTTGGTGTATTGGTTGTATTGTGGTGGCCTAGAATGACAATCGTCTGGCCAGTTATGAGGTGGTCATTTGGGGGACTTTGGAACAGGTGCAGGATCTGATTCTTTGGGACTTAGTTTGCTTGAGTAGTGGGAGCCTGGCTGATGTAGGAAGTTGTCTTGACACAAGCAGATTGGGATTTTGGGAGGAACTTGTTGATTTGACATATGGAGTGTTGGATTCTAATTTGTGTCAGTGCACTGAGGTTTGACCTAAGAGAATGCTTGAATGATAACTTCTTCCCTATGGAGTGAGGCACAATTCTCCCCGCCAAAAGTCTTTCAACTGATGGTAGGCTTAACACAGGCAGGCCAGGGTTTATCATAATGGACAGGGAATCACAGGACGTGCAAGGCCATGTCAGTAAAAGTGACTACTCCAATAGGCCACAACCCTTTACCAAGGTCACTCATGGAGGAAAGGGAAGGAATCTAAGGGAATTAAAAGATGCAAGGAGAATACTCTGATAGGCCACAACTCTTCACATGAGAAAGGGAAGGAATATCAAGGGATGCCCTGGTCAGGAAAAATAACAGAATCCCATGTTCTTCTCCTTTTTATCTTACAGATGGGACATACTCCCTGTGATGTCAACACACACTTAGAATGTATCTCAAATAGTTGGGATCAATTTAATCCACAAATTCTAAAAAAGAAATGCCTGATATTTTTCTGCACCCAAGCCTGGCCTGAATATAAGCTGGAGGACAGAAAAATGTCCTCTCAAGGGAAGCATAAACTATAACACCTTCTTTTTACAACTGGCTTGTCAGAAGTGCCCTGTGTACAAGCTTTATGCCTCTCATGCTCAAAACAGCAGCTTTCCTTGCCCCTTAGTTGCATGCAGGATATTCATCTGGGATGTAGGATGCATGAATAATTGCCCCAAATTTGAGAAAAGAGGAAAAAAGTGTCACTTTTAAATCAAAACCACTATTGGACATAAATGGCTATTTTATATTTTCTTATATTCTGGGATTCTGTTTCATCAAATTCCTCCCCAAATGCAAAAGAAATGGAGTGATGGAATGGCCTTCTGTAAAGGCCCCAGACCTTTTGAGGAGATGTACATTCTGCTTTTGAGACAACATCACAGGTGCTCAGCTTCAGAAAACTGACATGACAGGCCCTGTAATGTCGGGGAACACCCTAATTCCCATGGGGTTTTCTTTTCTCTCCAGGGTGGGCACCAGGAAGGAAAATGAAAAGATCCTGTATCTGGGCTGACTCTAATCTGATCCAAAAGTATGTTCTGTTCTGATAAAGATATTCCATGTGCTCCTTTACTAGCATGATTATGGCTGTGTCATTCCCCCCCCCCAAAAAAATCTCTTTTTTTGAGCTCATAAGTTCTGTGGTAAATTCACCTTTGGTCCTGCATGCCTAAATTAATATATCTTTTTGTTCCAATTAGTCTTATCTAACTTGTGTTTTCTTTAGCCCTCATTTTTTTCCTGCTCTATTCAGAGAACAATTATTCAAGGGTTAACTCTCAAATACACTGGAAAAAGAGATATCCTTTAAAGAATCCTAAGGAGGGTGATAAACAGTGGTAATAGTGGGAGTAAGTCTGCCCCCATGCAGGACAGGTGGCCAGCTGATCCTTGAATTTCAGCATCCACCAGGGCTGACAAACTCTACTCCTAATATCCCCAATTTCACAGGCCCTCTCCATGTCTGAGTCATTGTGCATACCTGTGTATTGAATTTCATGTCTACATATGAACTTGTACCTACATTGTTTACATGTTACCAAAAATTGACTTGTAGATTGCCAAAGTCTGGCTGGGCACAATTCAGGAGCCACTTGTCAAAAGAAACGAACTTTATTTTTAGAACACACACACTGCACCACACAGCTCTTCAGGAAAACCCTCAGAGCCCAACTGTCACCACCGGCTTCCCACAAGCCTCTCCACCTCCCCAACTCCTCCTGCTCTTGAGGCCGATTGGTTGGGTCGTGTGGGCGGAGCCAAAAAGTCCCCCAATGAGCAGCTCCGTGGTCTGAAAGGGGGGGAAATAACCCAATGAGCATCACTGCAGAGGAGCCAATCAGTTGGCAGCTAGAAGTTTGCTGGGGCCGCAGTGAGCCAATCATCAGCTGGCAGCTGGAAGTTTGCTGGGGCCCCTTCTGCTGGGGCCACTGTGAGCCAATCATCAGCTGGCAGCTGGTGCTGGCAGCTGGTGCTGGCAGCTGGAAGTTTGCTGGGGATCCTTTGGCTGTGGCTCTCAACAGTAGATAAATGAATACTCATAAATTTTTTAAAAAGGATCCAAATACCTTTTAGTTTATGTGACTTAAATAAAAAATTTTAACAAAAGGATAAATTTAATTGGAAAAGTAAAGATATCTTTTTTTAATATTTTTAAATTGTAGATGGATATATACCTTTATTTTATTTATTTTTATATGGTGCTGAGGATCAAACCCAGTGCTTCACACGTGTTAGGCAAATGCTCTGCCACTGAGCTACAACCCCAGTCCAGTAAAGATATCTTTAAAATTACTAACCTACTTATTTTTCTAGGTGATCAGCCAGTGGTCAGCCAATCAATGGAGTGATGTTTTCTATAAAATGTTTACCAACAAAGTGTAATGTCCATTGCTTTTAAGAATTTTCTTTGTATGGGGTAAAAATGGGAGTTCATAATCCACTTGAATCAAATGTATGAAATATGATATGTCAAGAGCTTTGTAATGTTTATAACAACTAATAATAAAAAAAAAGAATTTTCTTTGGCAGGTAAAAAATGGCTTAAAATGTTAACTAGGCTTGTCTGATATCTTGGTTTTCATGAGTAAATTAAATTTAACATAAATGGGACTAATATTTTTATACATGTTTATTAAAAGATACTTTAATTTGCAATATTAAGATACATAAATATCAACTGCTAAATAAAATTCTAGAAGATTATAGAAGTCTGATTCAAGGTCTAATAACATAGGTTATTACATTATAGTTGACACACTAAATAAATGTGATTATAGATACTCATGTCTGATAACTAAATATGTTTGTCTGAACTTTGTATAAGTGTTTTGTTAAAGCTTGTAAAATAAGACCTTAAGTAGGTTTGATAAAGGCAAGGTAACTAATAAATGCTGACTTTTATATATTGTATCTGACACAAAAGCCCACACTGCCGTTTTAAAACCTGGCTTATAGCCAGGTGTGGGGCACATGCCTGTAATCCCAGCAGTTTGGGAGGCTGAGACAGGAGGATCACGAGTTCAAAGCCAGCCTCAGCAACAGCAAGGTGCTAAGCAACTCAGGAAAACCCTGTCTCTAAATAACATGCAAAATAGGGCTGGGGATGTGGCTCAGTGGTTGAGTGCCCTTGGGTTCACTCCCTGTTCCCCGTACCCCTCCCCCCATGGGGGGTGGGGGAACAACCTGGTTTGTCTGGTTTCTTTTGGGTACATAATGTCTTATTACATAAATGGGGTACATTTATACATCAGATAAGTTCATTTCTGATCATTAATGCTGTCTCTCTTGTTAATTTCTTTGGCATTTTTCTTGTAAAACTTTTTAACTGTTGCCTAACAATGTTTTGCAGAAGTACTATTCCTAACAAAAGAACCTGAGTTAAGACAATAAGCCATCACCTACAGGAGGGAGAGAACATAATGCTGACTTCCAGTACTGATACTGACCCTAATTAAACAAAAGGGGTAACTGTCAAATTGTAGACATTAAAGCTAAAACTCATTACTCCTACTTTAAGACTGCTGAAACTGGCCTGCTTTGTATTTAAAGCCAAAACTTGGAGACAAAAGTTAAGGAAGTAAAAGGGCTAAGAAAAAGAAAACAGCCAATATTCTGGTACTTGCCTTCTAAAGTCAGCCAGAACCCTGGAAATGATGGACTCATAAGGGACCTACAATTCTGGTGAGTCACCCAATTTCTGATCAGGGGGATCATGAGAGCCCTAGAGGACAGGAAGCCAACCAGTGCGTATTCTGCAAAAAAGAAGGTTATTGGAGAGGGAAATGTCTCTGATGCTTCCAGGGGAAGCCACATGTGGTCAGCATGACCCTGACCCATCCTGATAGATGGCATGGCTGGTAGAAGAAAAGCTAAAGGAGCGAAGAGCTTCTCCCAAGTTCCTAAGAGTGACCCTCTGGCAAATCTCAGCTGACTTTAACAGTAAATAAAAACAAGGTCAATTTTTAACCAACTTGCTCTTGAACACCTGGCTGGAAAGAACAACCAAAGCACAGCCATACATGGACTTTGAGAAAGAAAAGACAATGGTTCTTTTAGTATAACTCAAGATGTACACTGTGTCAGTCCTTTCAAGGGTAAGTAAAACTGGGAGGTTATAAAAGAATTTTGTTTTTATATAGAAGTGCCTGATAACTATTACAAAAGGCTCTGTCAGAGTCACAGTTTGTTCTAAGTCAGTTCAAAACTTACAGATCTTCTTAAATTCCTACATAGGTAGGCTCAATATGTTTTTCAGTGGTGTGATTATTTAGCCCTGATATTTATCCCTCTAAAAGATATATTGTAGCACATGGAAGCCTAACCAACTTTACCAAGAGAACCCTACATGACATAGCTAAAGGGATCTCTCTACAAAACAAAGGTAATGGTAATAAAAAGCTATTTATAGGCAAAAATTTGATGACAGTTCAACAGATCCCTGAAGCCTATGAAATTTGTCGAAAGAAAAATCGCCTTAACAAAAAGGTAGCTCCTCTGGTATACAATGTTAAAGGTAAATATCTTGGGGAAGACTGGCAACTAGATTTCCCTTACATGCCAATGTCAAGAGTCATGCAAGTGTACAATGAGTCAAAATGCATTTTTCTGTTATATATACCTAATTAAAATAAATAAATAAGCTTTCTTTAAAAAGAGCAATATCTCTGGTCTGGGTAGACAATTGGGTGGAAGAGTTCCCTTGCAGGATGGAAAGGGCCTTGGAAGTAATTAAAGTTTATGTCTCTGAAATCATACCCAGGTTTGGAATTCCCAAAGTTTACAGAGTGACAATGCCCTTTCCTTCAAGGTAACTATCACTCGAAGAATCTCTAAAGCACTATACGTACAATATCATTTGCAGTGTGTCTAAAGACCCTAAGCATCAGGAAAGGTAGAAAAGACCAAATGTACTCTCAAAAGACACCTTAGAAAATTAGCTCAAGAAACCCATCTCCCATGGTCTTCCTTACTTCTTATGACCTTACTATGAATTAGGAACACTCCATTCCCTATGAAATGTTCAACATTTAGCTTCTGCCTTTAACTTACCTATTGTGGAGGAAAATCACTTGAAACTATAATCCCTGCGGGCCTGGAAATATTTAAATTACACCATGTCCCTCCGAGTGCAATATGAGAAATCATTTTCCAATCAAGAAACAGAACAACTGGGCTGGGGTTGTGGCTCAGCAGTAGAGCACCTACCTAGCATGTTTGAGGCCCTAGGTTCGATCCTGAGCACTACATAAAAATAAATAAAAATAAAGTTAGACAAAAATATTGTGTCCAACTACAACTAAAAAAAAGAGGAAGTAGAACAACTGAGAACTGGGTTCAGTGGTGCACACCTGTAATCCAAATGATCTGGGAGGCTGAGGCAGGAGGATCACAAGTTCAAAGCCAGCCTCAGCAACTTAGTGAGACCTTGTCTCAAAATAAAACACAAAAAGGCCTGGGATTGACTCAGTGGTTAAGCATCCCTGGGTTCAATCCCTGGTATGAAAGAAAGAAGGAAGGAAGGAGAGAAAGAAAAAAATAGACAACTGTTTTTAGAAGAATGGTAGGAGGGCTTTCAGAACCAGGCCACAGAGTTTTATATCAGTTACGATTTTGTGATCCTTTCTTGGCTTAGTAAGCTTCATATGGATGCTTTGTTGGCATTTCTAGTTTGATTTGAAAATTCTTCCTACACTCCATCTGATAATTCTATCTTGGGATTTCTAAATATATCACTATGCTCCTGGACATTCCAGGTGACATTCACCACAGCAGAGAGAGAATGGGAGGGAGGATGGAATTCTTTCCTATACAATTAATTAGATGCATAAACAAACCCCCCAAAAGACTATTTGTTCTTAAATTCTCCCCCTCCCCACAGGCCTCTTTCTGTTCACAAAGTAATACCTCCAATCTTTCGGTATCTTAACAGTACCAACCTCGCTATTGCCTGAGGATTACTATTTTCCTCTCAAAAATTCTTTTAAAAATATATACTCGTGGATTTGGGGTCAATATACTATATGAAAAAATAAAATAAAATAAATGATGCTTTACTTTGGGAGAGGCTTTCTGATTCCAGGTTCTCTCAGTAAAAAACTCCTACTTTGCATTTCAGTATGGGTTCCAAAAAAATTTGGAGCCAGAAAAGGGTCTATTTTATGGAGATAGGGCTGTTCATTAATTCTGTGAATAATGGGAACCCTCCCCAAAACGAAGTTGCCAGATGCGCCAAGGACAAACCTTTTAAGTAGGTCTTCAAAGGATAACAGTCAGGCCTACTCTTTTCTGCACATAGCATCAGGGCTGAGAGAACCTATGGAAGATGTTGGGGTTATTATTAGCAACTTGGAGGAAAGGGTCCCACAGCACCAGAAACTAGATCTCTGATGGGAACAGCTTGGCTGGTGTTAGTCATTAGGAAGCATGGGACAGACATAACCTCTATCCCCAAACATCCTGGAGCCTGGGACTCAGATCTCCAAAGAGGAAGCATTGGCTGATAGTGGGCCATCTGAGAGGGTATCATGAGGTCTTTTTGATTCAGTCCTTCAGAATACATTTACATACCTAGGCAACTGAAATTTAAGGATATTAAGTAACTTATACCAACTAGAAGGAAGCACAGTGTTATGGTTTAGATATGAGATGTCCTCTCCAAATGTATGTGTGAGACAATGCAAGAAAGTTTAGAGATGAAACAATTGGTTATGAGAATCTTAACCTAATCAGTTCATTAATCCACTTGAGTGGGTTAACTGAGTGGTAACTATAGGCGGGTAGGATGTAGCTGGAGGAGGTGGTTCATTGGAGGCGTGTGCCTTTGGGATATCTATTTTGTCCTTATCTGCAGTTCTGCAGTGTGTCTGTGTCTGTCTCTCTGCTTCCTGGTCCCAAGTCCTGAGCTGCTTCCTTCCACCACACTCTTCCACCATGATGTTCTGCCTCATCTTAGGCTCAAAGCAATGGAGTCAGCCATCTATGGACTGAGACCTCTGAAATCAAGAGGCCCAAATAAACTTTTTCTACTCTGTTTTGTCCAGTCTTTTGGTCACAGCAATGAAAAAGTTGACCAAAACACACAGAGATAACAAGCAAATCCACATTTTCTGATTGAGTCAGAATGTTCTAACTGTACGACTTATTGAAAAATGTAGCAGCAGCAGCAACCTTGTTATACTAACAATATTTTCTTTAAAAAAAAAATCAAGTGAGTCAAAACTAGGATTCTCTCTCTCTCTCTCTTTCTCTCTCTCTGTGTGTGTGTGTGTGTGACGTTGGGGATCAAACCTATGCTAGTCAAATGTTTCTACCACAGAGCTACATGCCCCGCCCCTCAAAACCAGAAATTTGAGAAGAAAACGGTATAATTAATTACTCAGGGCCACAAAGTGTGACGACATAGTTGGAGTTGTTCTTAGCTTTCCAGATCATACCCAGTAGATCAAAAAAATAGATTCTTACTGGTTATATTCACAGCATTTTAGCCAGTCCTAGAATTCTCTTTTAGCTGCTCCCGGCAGTTTCTAGATCCTCTAAAACTCCATGGTGTTTGTTACCTATACTTTTTTCCCCCTAGATGTCCTGTTTCCTACTGCTTCCTCATCTCTATTATTTCTTTTAATGGCCAACTCCTTCTCATCCTATTGGATGAGATTCAGTGTTACCTACCATCTTAGTTTTTTTGTGTGTTGTCAGAACCAAATACCATAGACTGGGTGATTTATTTTAAAAAGAGGTTTATTTGGCTCTCAATTCTGGTGGCCAGAAAATCCAAGCAACATGGTGCCAGCATCTGGTGTAGAGTCCTGGTTATGTCACAATGTGGCAGAGAAGTGGAAGGTGAAACCTGGCACATACAATGAGAGAGAGCGGTCATGTGGTGAGAGAGGAAGAAGCCTGGGAGAGGCCAAGCTTGCTCTTTTATAACTTCCTTGATAGAATTAATCCACTTCTGTGAGATCTAACCCATCCTGCAAGACCATGCCTTCATGAAAACAGTCAGGACTCACTTCCCACAAGGCCCAGCATCTAAAGGTCACCACCTTATCAATACTACTATACTGTGGAAAAAGCTTCCAGCACATGAAAATTTGGGGAACAAACCACAGCAGCAACTCAGGAAATCTCCCTCAAGAAGTAGATTTGAGATTACCAGGAGTCCAGAGGAAAAGGAAATAGGAAGTCATTGTTTAAGGTCAGAGTTGGGTTTGGGGCAAGAAGAAAATAAGCTTGGATATAGATAGTAATGAAAATTACACAACAGTTTGAATATAATTAGGGCCACTGAATTTTATAATTAAAATGCATATTTGCATAATTTTAACACACACATAAAGGGAGGTGTAAGCTGGGCATAGTGGTGTCCACCTGTAGTCCCCAGCTATCAGGGAGGTTGAGGGAGGAGGATCACTTGAGTCTAGGAGTTCAAGACTAGTCTTGGAAAGACAGTGACACCCTGTCTCAAAAAAAAAAAAAAAAAAAAAAAGTCAAAAGGGAGGTGGGTGTTGGCCAGATACAATTCATGGTTTGGAGATTGCTATACCGTGTTACAGAAAAAAAAAAAAAAATGCTCACCCTTCTTTCTCCTCTCATCTAAGGATTCCTGAGACCATTTATGGTGACAACCTAATATCCAGAAACCTTTGCTTGTTATTCTTGCTCACTGTCTGAGATTAAAACATCAGAATCAACAAATGGGATTGTATCAAACTAAAAAGCTTCTTCATAGCAAAGGAAACAATCAAGAGCACAAAGAGAGAGCCTAATGGGAATGGGAGAAAATCTTTGCCACCTGCACCTCAGATACAGCATTAATCTCCAGGATGTATAAAGAACTCAAAAAACTTAAACCAAAACCAAAACAAATAACCCAGTCATCAAGAAATGGGACTGAACAGGCACTTCACTTCACGGAAGAAAAAAATATGAATGGTCAACAAATATATGAAAAAAATGTTCAATGCTCCATAGCAATTAGAGAAATGCAAATTAAAACTACCCTGAGATTCCATTTGACTCCAGTCAGAATGGCAATCATCAAGAAAACAAGTAACAATAAATGTTGGCGAGGATGTGGGGGAAAAGGCACACTCATACATTGCTGGTGGGACTGCAAATTGGTGCAACCACTCTGGAAAGCAGTATGGAAATTCCTCAGAAAACTTGGAATGGAACCATCATTTGACCCCGTTATCCCACTCCTTAGTCTATACCCAAAGGTCCTAATATCAGCATACTACTCTAGGTGCTGTGGTGTCATGAGCCAGCCATGGGCTGGCTGTGTGTGTGTGTGAGCTATGTGCATTTGAGCATATGAAGGGACTGGTCTGACGTTACTGCCTGATTGGGCTGTGTGACCTATGTGTGCCTTTTTTGCTCTGCCTTTGCTCCCACTCAGCACCTGAGATGGGTGTGGCTTTGCAAGATGTCAATCTGCTGACCACAAGACATCACCAAGCAAGACTCCCCCGTTTGAAACCCAATCCCTTGCTTTATTTGGGTGAAACTTTCTCAAATATTTGTCTTTCCCCCAATAAATAGAAGGTTTACCTATGTTTGTGCACTGTGTGGTTTCTTCACTATTTTCTTAGTTATTGATACAGCCAGCTCCTTTGAACCCAATTCATATGGCCAGTCTGGCCAGCTGGCGATATGGTGGCACATGCGTATAATCCCAGCGGCAGGGGAAACAGACAGAGGAGGATCACAAGTTCAAAGCCAACCTAAGTGACTTAGCAAGGCCCTAAGCAACTCATTGAGACCCTGTCTCTAAATAAAATACAAAATAGGGCTGGAGATGTAGCTCAGTGGTCAAGTGCCCCTGAGTTCAATCCCCAGTAACCACCCCCCCCCCAAAAAAATACAGTGATGCAGCCACATCAATATTTATAGCAGCTCAATTCACAGTAGCCACACTATGGAACCAACCTATGCGCCCTACAACAGATGAATGGATAAAGAACATATGGTATATATACACGATGGAATATTACTTAGCCATAAAGAAGGGTGAAATTATGGCATTTGCTGGAAAATTGATAGAACTGGAGAATATCATACTAAGTGAAACAAGCCAATGCCCCTAAACCAAAGGCCAAATGTTCTCTCTGATATGTGGATGGCTAACACACAATAAGGGTGGTGGGAAGGAAGAATAGAAGTTCATTGGATTAGATAAAAAGGAATAAAGGAAAAGGGAGGAGGAATGAGATTAGGAAAGACAGTAGAATGAATCAGGCATAATTTTCCTATTCATATATGACTGCATGACCAGTGAAACTCCATAACATATACAACCACAAGAATGGGATCCTACTTAGGATAAGTTATACTCCATGTATGTATAATATGTCAAAGTACACTCTACTGTCAGGAATATCTAAAAACAAAAACAAAAACTCCCCCACCAAACACATAGTCATTCACTCTCACAGCCTCATTACTGTAGCCCATTGCTTTCTCTTTCCTGATTTTCTCTCTCAAACCATTTTTCTTTGTGCCTTTTAGAACCCCCTAATCCATAGTTTAAAAACTTTTGAACTCCTAAAACATATGGGCTTGAGTTGTAGGAATATTAATTGGCTTTAGGAATTTTGGGGGGTGGGTATGGGAAATTAAACCCAGGAATGCTTAACCACTAAGCCACATCCCCAAGCCCTTTTTATTTATTTATTTATTTATTTTTTAAAGAGAGTGAGAGAATTTTTTTAATGTTTATTTTTTATTTTTTGGCGGACACAACATTTTTGTGTATGTGGTGCTGAGGATCGAACCCGGGCCGCATGCATGCCAGGCGAGCGTGCTACCGCTTGAGCCACATCCCCAGCCCGCCCTTTTTATTTTGAGACAGGGTCTTGCTAAGTTGTTCACTAAATTGCTGAGGCTGATCTTGAACTTGCAATATCCTTCTGCCTTGGCCTCCCTAAATCACTGGGATTACAGACATGTGCCACTACATCCAGTAGTGTGTTTTTTTTAAGGTTTTTTTTTCCTTGTGTGAGCACTTTTACCTTGAGGGAATGGTGGGTCAGTTGGTTAGTCTGGAGCCAAATGTTAATCTCTTCTACTGATGCAACATCCTAGATAATCATTTTGCCCTGTGATAAAGTTGAACAGCTGCAACTATTGAGAGAACATACAAGTTACAGTGAAAGAAAACAAATCCTACAAGTAACAGGTTTAGGACCTGGGGAGTTTGTCTTTAGCCCTTTGAGGCAATCTTCCAATAGTTTCATTCTTATCTAGTTTATCCTTCAAGATGTAAAGGTGAAGGCATCCTGGCTTTAGTGATATACCTGGTTTTTGAGATCAGTAAGATTGTTTGAGGGAGTGGGGGATAGGGAAGAACACATATCACACTTTTTAATGGGTAACAGGCTATGATTTAAAGTTCCCTGAGCACATTTGCCCTTTTTGGGGGAGTGGGGGGGGGGAATACTGAATTTTCACTACCTTAATCCCATCCCCCACTCCCCTAATGGGGATTGAATCCTCACATGTGCTAGATAAGTACTCTACTTCTGAACAAAATCCCCAGTTCTACTATCTGAATCACAAGGAGTATTGTTTGTATGGGAGTCCCTGACTATTTCAGTGAGGGGACAGACTGCATGTACTATCAAATAATCAGGAACTTTTATTTCTTCTTCTGGCCATGGAACAATAAAAGACCTGCACACCTTCTTCAAGAACTCAGAAAGAGATAAGGGCTGGGTGCAGTGGTGCATGCCTGGAATCCTAGCTACTCTGGAGGCTGAGGGCAAGAGGATTGCAAGTTTGAGACCAGCTTCAGCAATTTAGTGAGACTCTATCTCAAAAACAAGAAGGGCTGGGAATATAACTCAGTGGTAGAGCATGCCTGGATTCAATCCCAGTAGTGCCAAAACAAAAAAGAAAGAAAAAAAAAGACAAAGAAGGAAATAGATAACAAAAAAGACTTTGATAGCAGGGCATGGTGGCGCATGTCTGTAATCCCAGTGGATTGGGAGGCTGAGGCAAGAGGATTGAAAGTTCAAAGCCAGTCTCAGCAATTTAGTGAGACGTTGTCTCAAAATAAAAATTGAAAAGGACTGGGGATATTACTCTGTGGTTTAATCCCTGGGGGGGCGGGGGAGAGAGAGAGACAGACAGACAGACAAACAGACTATGGTATTCAATGTTTCTCAAAGTATGGTGGAAGACCACTTGTAAAGAATTTTCATTTCAAGACCAGCTCTCTGGAGGATGGCAAGTTCAAGGCCAGTCAGGGCAATTTAGCAAGACTTATCTCAAAATAAAAATAAAAAGGGTTAAGGAAGCCAGGCATAGTTTCACACATCTGTAATCAAAGTGATTTGGGAAGCTGAGGCAGGAGGATTGCAAATTCCAGCCCTCAGCAATTTAGTGTGGCCCTAAGCAACTTAAGGAGACCATGTCTCAAAATAAAAAGGGCTGGGGGTGTGGCTCAGTGGTACAGCACCCTTGGGCTCAATCCCAGTACCAAAAAAGAAAGGAAGGAAGGAAGGAAGGAAGGGAGGGAGGGAGGGAGGGAGGGAGGGAGGGAGGGAGGGAGGAAGGAAGGAAGGAAGGAAGGGAAAAAGAAAAGAAAAAAGGTTGGGGATGTAGGATGTAGCTTAGTAGTAAAGCACCCCTGGGTTCAATCCTCAGTATCACCAAAATAAATAATTAAATAATAAATTCAAAAATCACTTCAAACCTACTGAATCAGTCTCTGTATTGTGTTTGGGCCTACAACTCACTTTTTTTTTTTTTTTTTTTTTTTTTTTTTTTGGTACTGAAGATTGAACTGGGGATTCTTTACCACTGAGCTTCATCCTCAGTCCTTTTTATCTTGAGACAAAGTTTCAAGTTGCTGAGGCTGGCCTCAATTTTCAATCTTCCTACCTAGCCTCCTGAGTCCTGGGATTATACACCTGCACCACCATGCCTGGCTACAACCTATAATTTAAATAAATTCCCAGGGAATATCCTTAAATTTTGGTAATTACTGCATTAGTGGAAAACATACACACACACACACACACACACCCCTCCGCATGAACACAGATACAAATTCTACTCTTTGCCCCCAACCCTACTTCTACACTCAGCGGCTCCTAGAGAGAAAAAGCCACTGATATATTGCCATGAGGAAAGCAAAAAAATACAGACTTTTAAAAAATCATTTCAATTAATATCATCATTCCAAGAAAGAAAAAAAGAAATTTTGAGAATCAAGGAAGGGGTATTTGCCAGCTCTTGCTATCCAAGTCCTTCAAGGTCAAGACAGCAGGACTGATATCTCCTTCACTTATCAGAAAAGCTTTTTCACCACTATTTACTCATTTGTGTGTGTGTGTGTGTGTGTGTGTGTGTGTGTGAGAGAGAGAGAGAGAGAGAGAGAGAGAGAGAGAGAGAGAACCCAAATTTCTTTGAGTCTCGTGTCCTCAGGTTAAAGTGTCACCCTCTGTCTGGCTGCATCACTGCCATCTCATGGCAGACACTTTTGGACACCAGTAGTGGATGCTGTGGTGGGCTAACCAGATTCCTCCCCTCTCTCCCTCATAACTGGAGTTGCCAGGAGTTCTGTAAGTGACAGCTCTCCAATGTAGCTCTCTCTGGGGATTGCATGAGGCCAAAAGAGAGCTCTCTCTTCCCTTTTCCTGTAGGAAGTGCACATGCAAATCTTTGTTTATATGAGAATATAAAAATCTCTTAGAGTATTCCCACAAACTTCTTGCATTTCTATTTCAGAGACTGCTTCCTTTATAGGAAACCCAAC